CCTGGCTCCGGGATTCAGACGCTTGGTGCCTCTGAATGTGGAGGTTCCCCTCAGTCACCATGGCTAATGGCCACTGATAGACTTATCCTCCATGAATCTATCCAATCCCCTTTTAAAGCTGTTTATTCCTGTAGCCATCACTCCATCCTCTGGCAGCGAATTCCACATTTTAATCGCTCTCTATGTAAAAAAAGTATTTCTTTTTGTCAACCCTCGATCTACTGCCCATTAGCTTCTTTGGATGCCCTTGCGTTCCAGTATTATGGGAGAGGGAGAAAAAAATTATCTTTGTCAAGTCTTTTTACCCCAGCCATAATTTTATAAACTGTTATCATGTCGTCGTCCCCCTTGGTCATCTCTTTTCTAAACTGTCCCAGACTTTTCAGCCTTTCCTCATAGGGAAGGTGCTCCATCCCCCTACTCGTCTTTATCACCTTCCTCTGTACATTTTCAGCTATGTGGTACATTTTTTGAGATACAGAGACTGAAGCTGTACACAGTATTCCAAAGTAGGCGTCACCATAGATCTATACAAGGCTCTTTTTGTAGAAAAAGCCCAGCAGGAACGTATTAGCATAAGAGGCCACACCCAACAGCAGGAACTCATTAGCCTGTTAGGTGATAGCACAGCACATTAACATAACAAAAGTACTGCAATCAGCCTGTCCTCATAGGGAAGGTGCTCCATCCCCGTACTCGTCTTTATCACCCTCCTCTGTACTTTTTTAGCTATGTGGTATATTTTTTGAGATACAGTGACTGAAACTGTACACCGTATTCCAAAGTAGGCAGCACCATAGATCTACACAAGGCTCTTTTTGTAGAAAAAGCCCAGCAGGAACTTATTAGCATAAGAGGCCACACCCAACAGCAGGAACTCATTAGCCTATTAGGTGACAGCACAGCACATTAACATATTAGGCCACACCCCCATGTTACCAGAAGTGTGGTCATCCAGCCACACCCACCTTTTGCTTCTTATTCTGTTTACCTTGTTTGTTGTCAAAACCCAGGGCTTTTTTTGTAGCAGGAACTCCTTTGCATGTTAGGCCACACATCCCTAATGTAGCCAATCCTAATGAGTTTCTGCTGTTGGGTGTGGCCTATTATGCTAATGAGTTCCTGCTGGGCGTGGCCAACTTGGGAGCCAGCCGGAACTCTGTTCCTGTGCGTTCCTGCCCAAAAATAGCCCTGGATCTATACAGGTGTATTATTAATATCGGCCATTTTATTTCCAGTCCCTTTCATAATAATCCCCAACACAGAGTTTGCCTTTTTTGCACTGTGCTGACACTTTCATTGAGCTCCCCACTACGACCCCAAGATCTTTCCCCCTCTCAGTCTCACCTAGTTCAGACCCCGGCGGCCCACACTCTGTCCTCGCTTGGCTCCTCATTTCATCTGGGAAAAGCAGCTATACAGGCCTTGTTAGAACACCAGAAACTTTTTTCCTCTGGCCGAGTGTTGCACCGTCATGAGAATAAGGCAAGCTCTCTGCAGAGGCAACAGCCCGATTTAAATGAGAGGCTGAATTGTGTACAAAGGTGTTCAAGGTTATTTTGCCCTGCCAGCATCCTATTTCAATCGGCCCATGCTGAGTTCTTCCATCTCCAACTAAGCTACTTTGCATCCTTCTTGGAGGAGAGCAGGCACCACTGTTTCTATTAAGCAAATTGTGCTGAGGGAACTGTGCTGAGCAGAAGGGGAAAAAATGGGCAAGCATCTGCAAAATAGCACGGATGACGCTGCCGTCCATCGAGTCAGGGAAGAGAATTAGCCAGCTTCAGACGATGGATTTTTGTGAACTGGAAGAGGCCTCTTTGAAATTTTAATGTGCAAGGTACTAAAAGATTTAAGGATGCACCATATCTTTCCTTTTGCTCTCTACCTCTGCCAGCGTGGTGTAGCAGTTAAGAGTGGCGGACTCTGCTCTGGCTTTGATTCCCCTCTCCTCCTCTGCTGGATGACCTTGGGCCAGTCACCGTTCTCTCTCTCAAAACTCTCTCATCCCCACCTGCCTCACAAGGTGCCTGTTGTGGGGAGAGGAAGGGAAGGAGATTGTAAGCCGCTCTGAGACTCCTTCGGGCAGAGAAAAGCGGGGTATAAAAACCAGCTCTTCATCTCTCTTATGGTGG